GGAAGTTACTTTTCCTAGAAAACAACTCTCAGAATCCCCCATGTTAGATCAGAACTGAACAAGGGACCATCTTTTTGACTGCAGTGGACAGGAAAGAAGGTTGCAGGATGGAAAATCTGAAATTTAGCATTTTTATATCGCCTTATCTCCTGTTCATTTCTGGTTATGGTTCCAAATCCATTTTTGGAAGCAACTCCACCAACCTGACTGAGATTTCCTTCTGAGTGAACTTACATTTTTAATGTGACTTTAAAAAACTCAACAGTTTCTTCTAATAATAATGAAACCAATTACCCTCAAGTGAACTGAAAGTCTGTCAAATCGTCTGCACTGAAGGCTGTGGTACATCTAAATCACCGTGTATTCAACTATACTAGTGCTGAATTTGAAAAACAGTGAGGTACTGCATAGAGTGATGAACTAGGATTCAAAGACCCGAGTTCGAATCTCCCTCAACTTTGACAGCTCTATTAGGGTTCCAACATGATGAATTAGGATTGCTACGTACCTTCTTTTTTCCTTAGCCTTCTAATGTTTAACACCTACGTGGCTTCACATAAAACAGTCCCCAACACACTGAGAATAGTATTTATTAATTTTTTGTGTCTGATGCTGTTTCAATTCAGTTCTGAAGAATTTGATAGAACCATAGAATTACAGGGCAAGCTTGAAATGATCCAGGGATCAAGTCCAAGCCCTCCTGAAGCCATAATCCATAAATAAATCATCTCTTGACAGGTGGCCATCTAAGCACTACTTAAAAACCACCAGGGACAAAAGGGCTACATGGCTATTCACTCCACGGTCAATAATTTATTTCCAATTCAAAAGCAAAATCTTCCTTCTAATTTCTTCTTGTTTCCAGACCATTCACCATCCTGATTGACTTCCTTTGGACACATTCCACCTTACTGATATCCTTCTTAAACTGCTCCTGATCTGGAAGTTATATTTCCATTGATACAAGTACATACTGAATTTGTGTTTTTTGCTGCACCACCACATTGTTGACTTGTGTTTAGCTTGTGGCCTACTATGATTTGCAAATACATACATTACTATCAAGCCAGTTGTCACCCATCTTATACTTGTGCATCTGTTTTTCTTTTTCCTGTCTAAACATAGAATGTTATGTTCTTCCCTGCTGGAATTCATTTTCTTTGTTTTGGCCATCTTAGATCCTGAGTTGGTCTCCTGAAGATGGTCTAAGATGTTGACGGATATGGGGCCCAAACAGAACCCTATGGCACCCCTCGTCACTTCTCTCCAGAATGAAAATCATTGATGACCACTCTTTGGGTATTCCTTGTTAGAAACCTACATATCCACCAACAGTAGTCATGAACATCTCAGTTTTATAAGTCACAGTCTCACATTCTGTTACTAAGTAGTTCGATCAAGATGTTTTGGGTTGTAATTGTCATCATTTCTAATTGCTGGCTATAATAGTTGGTTCTCCTGGATCTCTCAGCATCTTTCTATGATATTGACCACAGTGTCTTTCTGGGGTGTTTTTCTAGGATGGGTCCTCGAGGCACTGTTTTACAATGGTTCCAATGGCCAACCTCAGAAGTTGGTATGGGGGGGGCTCCTGTTCAACACCCTGACCACTGGTGTATGGTGTCCCTCAGGGCTCAGTCTTGCTCCCCTCCCCCCCCCCGCCGCCAATCCTGTTCAACACCCTGACCACTGGTGCATGGTGTCCCTCAGGGCTCAGTCTTGCTTCCCCCCCCCCCGCCGCCATGTTTTTAACATCCACATGAAACCACTGGGAGAGGTAATCCAGAATTTTGGAGGTTGATGCCATCGGGAACCTGATGTCACCCAACTCTCTCTCTCCTTCCCATCAGATTCCAAGGAAGAGGTTCTGTGCTTAGACCATGGTTCATTGTCATTGATGGACTGGATGAGGGCTAACAAACTAAAGCTTAATCCAGAGAAAACAGAGGTGCTCCTGGTTAGTTACAAGGCAAATCAGGAGATAAGGATTCAGTCTGTACTTCTCCTAAAAAATCAGGTCTGCAAGCTTGTGTGCGCTTCTGGATTCAGCCCTACTTTTAAACTTACAGATTCTTAAATGTTTTTCAATTGTTTTAAAATCTTAATGTATGTTAAATTGCTTGTTAAATGTGATATATAGTGTTCTTAAATTTCTTATTTTATCTTTTGTGAATTGCCTTGGTGGCATAAACATAATTTACATAAATAGTGGCTGCAAATTACGGGAATTTTAAATGGAAACACCTGTAGGGCGCAAAGACTTCCACCTCTTTCTCATTTATGGTCAAGACAGACTATGTTGACCCAGCAAGATAACCTGTTGTTCCCATGAAAAATCCCCAGCCCAGGACATAAAATACTTTTTAAAATCTTGTCTAATGTATCCCCTCTTCTTTGATACTGACTGATACTCTCTGGAATGACTTCACTTCCTTTTCCCACATTTCCTTTCCAGCTCTCTCCCACATACCACAAGCACAGCAGTAGCATCCTACATAAATATCTTATCTTAGATATACTGTATTTCCACAATAAAGTAAAAATTCCTTGTTTCTTCTCATGGATAATACCATTTATTACATTAGAAATCCGACATACCTTCAAGAGCCCATGAACAGAGGGGTGAAAACATATCTACGTCTCTGGACAAAGAATTTTAGTTTGTTTGTGATGGGGTAAAATTCTTCTTGAAATACAAGGCTTACAGCTGGGTAGATTCTGCCGTGGAGCACAGCATGCTCGAACACTGAGAACATCCCTCTCAAGTGAGTGCCTCTCATCTTTCTTCCTAACGATTTTGTTATTGTCCAGTTTAGCGCTATGATGAAAACTGTTGCTGTTTCACAACCTTACTGATCAGTTCAGCACTATATCACTTGCTAAATGTTTTTTAAAAAGAGACAGGGAAGAAGGCACTATTAATGACAGAGGAAAGTGAGCACCTTTGATCCCAGTGAGGAGTGCAGTAACCTGAGACACGGTATTGACTCTTGTCCTGAAACCTGCCTGGGAAAATTAAACATCTTGTGTGAATGACAACTATTGAATGACAACCATAGAAAATTTCAAGTCTATCCAAGTCTAGCCTTGCTGTCTAGTTACACCTGTACTTGTTAAAAAAAACAAGGGTCTGCTGTTCCTTCAGGGGAAAGAAATGCCAATATTTCTCAAATTACTTCCCTGATAAATCTTCAGTACCTTTTTCTTCTCTTTATTTCCATCCTTTACCCATTCCTACTGCACTCCCTCAGGACTACTCCAAAGGCAAATTCACAATTAACAAGATATCACAACCGCCAAGAAAAAAATGCATTAATTTTAGATCCCCCAGCTTGATGACAAAGATGACTTCTCCCCCAACACTTTTTTGTGTGTTAATCTGAGCTGCGGTAGGGACTTTTCTACATCTTGCTTTTCGGGTAAAGCTTTAAACCTCTGTAGACTTTTAAGGCTCAACAGCTGGGACTAAAGGAGGCGCTTACATCACAAAGTTTTAGCTATGGAAAAGTTAAAAAACGGACATGGGAACTAGAAGACCAACACTAGGAATTTGATCTACTCTTTAGCTTAACGATGCAACATCTCTACAGTGTAAAGATCAAGTGCCTTAATTGGTTTAATCTCCGGTTTGTAAGGCTGAAGGGATGGGTACACTTTCACCGGAAAACACAAATTTGGAGCCTCAGGAATCATCTCGTATTGGGAGGTGTTCCAATTTCCTCCTTCCTGCTCCCTCCATCATTCTGACACATCTAAAACGCACCCGCAAGACCTTCCGAGTAATATGGGCTTTTCAAGGGTTTTTAGCCTTAGGCCCTAAATAAAAGTTAAAACTGACGATGCGTGTGTTGGGATCCTTGTTAGGTGGAGGCTGGTGAGATGAAAGTGCAGAAAGCGGTGAACTACACGGAGAGGAGGGCTCGCAAGCCCCTTTTTAGAAACCCAGGAGAAAGCTTGGGCTGAATTCGGGGATATTTACATCGGAGTAGCCGCTGCAAAGCGCCCGGGCTTTACTTCAATTGCACTCAAATCACATACCGTCCAATTGCCAACTGCCCTCAGAAGGGGCTCTTCAAAACATGGGAAATATACCTTCGGGCCGCCCTAAGTCTCATTGAGGGGCTTGGCGAGTAAAGCGGGGAGCCGGTGGGTGGGTGTATCCCATCAACCTAAGGGAGCACCGGCCATCCCGACGACCGGGCGCCGCGTCCCGTGGCACGCGCGAGGCGCGTGGAAGGGAAGCAGCCGCGCAATACCTGCAACGGCGGCGTAGCTTTTCTCTCTCTCTCTCTCTCTCTCTCCCCCCCCCGGGCCGTGCAAGGAAGCGGGGCACGCCCGCGAAAGGTGCAAGCACGCACACGTCCCTTGTTTTTCCCG